AATTGGGCTACCATCTATCATTATCTAGAATCAACGCCACGTAGAATATTGTACAGAGGTTGGGGTCCTTGCTTATTTAATCTTGTATTCATATTCCCTGTCATTCCTATTCCATGTTATCATCATGTGTAGATGTTTATGCAGACGTTGGTTTTAAAGAATGTCAGGAGCCTCTGTACGCCTCTTTTTCCATGCAGTCTAAAATCTCTTTGAAAAAGTGTTTCCTCCTCCTGGTGTTGTAATCGAAAAATTAACTAGACTTCGCACAAATATTTTATTATTTTAATTTCACTTAAATAGATGATTGGTCTACTGTAGCATGTATCACATAGGACATGGATCTGCCATCTATTGTTGGCTAGAAACAAGGCATTTTAGAATTGTGTGTAGTGGTTGGGATCCTAGAATTGTGTACAGTGGTTGGAGCCCTTGCTTATTTAATGCGGTAATAATATCCCCAGCCGTTCCTATTTCATGTTTTCAAAATCTGTAGATGTTTATGCCAAGTTTGCTTATGAGAATGTCAGGGGCCTCTGTGCGCCCCTTCTTACAAATATTCTAACACCACTTTGTGTTTCCTCCTATGCTGGGGTTGGGTCGAAAAGTTCACTAGTCTCCGCACAAATATTTTATTATTCTAATTTCACTTAAATAGACTTAAATAAATATTTTATTATTTTAATTTCACTGTAGCATGTATCACGTAGGACATGGATCTGCCATCTATTGTTGGCTAGACACAACGCATCGTGGAATTGTATGCAACGGTTTCGATCCTGTCTTATTTAGGGTTGCATTTTCCCACTGAGCGCTCTAATCTCCTGCAGTTCCTATTCTGTGTTATACTTATGTGTTGATGTGTATGCCGAGGCAGTTCCTATTCTGTGTTATACTCATGTGTTGATGTTAATGCCGAGGTTGGTTTTTAGAATGTCAGGTGCCTCCGATGCCTCTATTTTATAAATATTCGAAAATCACATTGATATAATTTGTCCTCCTCAGCTGGGATTTAGACACTTCGGTTTGTAGTTCGGCAAACTATTATCTGTACTACGCCACCCCAATAGCTCTCATAAAAAATCCCGACCTATATAAATAATTATGGCCGACTGTAACATGTCCTAGGTGATGAGTCTGCCATCTATCGACGTCTAGAAACAACGCCTCCTAGAATTTTGTGCAGTAGTTGGGGCCCTTGCGTATTTAGTATTGCTTTTTTCCTGTATGTGGCGCTATTAACTGTCATTCCTATTCCTTGTTATCCTCTTGTGTTGATATATGTGCCGAGCTCGATTATTAGAATGACATAACCTCTTCTGTATGACTATTTTTACAAACATTCCAAAACCACGTTGAAAGATTTTGTCCTTCTTCGCGGCATACTTTCCACGTATTGCGGCAACCCAATAATTCTCATAATAAAGTCCTGTCCTATATAAAGAATTTTGGCCAGACTGTAACATATTCTTGGTGATGCGGATACCATCTATTGATGTCTAGAAACAACGCTTACTAGAATTTAGTGCAGTGGTTGAGGTCCTTGCCTATTTTGTGTTCCCTTTCGCTCTCATTCCTTTTCGGTGTCATATTCATCTGATGATGTTTATGACGAGTTTTGTTATTAGAATGCCATCTTTTTTACAATTTTTTTAAACTAATTTGAACAAATTTGTTCCTCATCCCCTGGGATTCAGATTGTAGTATGGCACACTATCTACTGCATTACGCTACCCCTATAGTTTCATATAAAGGGGAGAATACTGAACTTTATAATTTTGAATATGAAAATCTTCGTGGAGGGTAAACCTCTATTTACAAATATTCGAAAACCACTTTGAAAGATGTTGTCATCCTCTGTTTGGGTGCATACCCATCGGTTTGTAGTTGGTCACATTATTACATGTACTACGCCATCCCAATAGTTCCCATATAAATGTCCAGACATATAAAGCATTTTAGCCGACTGTAACATGCCCTGGGTGCTGGAGCTGCCATCTAGCGATGTCTAGAAACAAAGCCTTGTAGAATTTAATGTAGTGATTGCTAGTTGATAGTTTCCCTCTAGGTGGCGCTAAATCCTTTTCTGTGTTATCCTAATCTGTTGATGTCAAAATTGGTTATTAGAATGTCGAGATTGGTTTAAAAAAAAAAAAAATTAAAATCACTTCGAAACACTTTCCCTCCTCTGGGATTTAGCTGAAAGTCTGGCACATTATCCCCTGCACTACGCAATCTCCATAATTTCATTTGAAAGGAGAATTTTGACGTATATAATTTTGAGGAGTGGAGGGTATAAATATTTCAATCCGGATTTCAGACACATAATAATTAAAAAGTTAATTTTATAACGGAACCCTATAGCTATGTTTCAGAAGGTGTAAAGATCTAATCTTTTTATCGTAATATTTAAAATATTGTTAATTATAAACATTTCTCTTATGGTTGGGCGGTCCCATATTGTTCGTTTCGCTCTGCAAAATGAACTAGGTCACGCAATTAGTTCCATAGTTAATTTAGTCAATGGAACGGAATGATCTAGATGCTCGCTTGAAGAACTAGGTGTAGGAGAGCAAAATCGAAGGTCTGAAATAAACAGAACTAGATAAGAACGAGTCATACCGGTCGTTTATTTTGTGGAATAATTCCCTTGAACTCGTCTGTTCTGAATCGAACCAACTCTAAAATATTGCCCTATGAACGGTTTTACCAGGTTTTGTGTTTGAGAAGAGTCACAATGTTATCGACATCACACTAATGGGTTCTGGCTTTGCTTTTCTGGCGACCACACTGTTGGTTTAATTCCATAGTTAATTCAGTCAATGGAACGGAACCGTCTAGATGATCGCTTGAAGAACTAGGTGTAGGAGAACAAAACCAGTATTAGTACCGGTCGTTCCTTTTGCAGTTTTACCGGTCTTTTTGTTCGAGAAGAGTCACAATGTTATCGACATCAATATAATGGGTTCTGGCTTTGTTTTCCTGGCGATCTCACTGCTGGTTCGTGTCTACACTACGCTAGAAATGAATAACACCATCTGGTGCAATTTTAAAAAGTATTACGATCTCCTTTTTCAATGCACTCCCATCTTTACCCTACTTGGTTTATTGTTTCCTAAATGTATTACAAATTTATAATGAGTTCTGTGATCCATGATATTAGCAGAACCCAGAAGTATACATTTCACATAGAGTATATTCTCGGAGTCGATGCAAACTTAGAATCAAAATATTTCATTTTCTATTTACAAGCCAAAGGAGTGGATTTCTTTCAAATATTTTTCTAAGTACCAGACAAAGGTGTGAATTTTTAAAAAAAATATTTTAAAGGACCAGTCAAAGATGGATTTTTAAATCAATATTTTCCCAATGGTCATTACAAGGTATGGTTTTTTTAAAGACTATTTTTTCAATGACCATCAAAATGTGCGAATTTTTAGGGAATATATTTTTAAGAACCATCACAACACGTAGGTTTTAAAAAGGAATATTTTTCAAGGACCATCACTAGGCGCAGATTTTTTTAAAGAATATTTTTCCAAGGTTCCATAGAAGGCGTGGTTTTGTTAAATAATATTTTTCAAGGGTCTATAGAAGGCGCGGATTTTTTTAAGGATCTATAGAGCGCATAGATTAAAGAATATTTTTTAAGAGTCTATAGATTGTGGATTTTATAAGGAATGTTTTTTCAATGGTCTATAGAGGGCATCTTTTTTTAAGAATATTCGCTGAAGAATCTACAGAAGGCGTGGAATATATATACGGATAAGAATATTTGTCAAGAGTCTTCAGAAGGCGTGGATTTTTAATTAATATTTTTTCAGTGCCAAAATTAGTCGTGGACTTTAAATTAAAATTGTTTCCTAAGTAACACCTATATGCGAGAAATTTGTCTTTATATGTAGACCTTTGAAGATACATTGTCTGAAAATTTTATATGGATTTTTTCTTACATAACATCCCTGTAAATTCATATCGATACTCGATACATTCAAACATACACATTTGTAGACCCACAAACAAATATGTCGAACGGGCGGCAGACAGTTTGGCAAAATTGATAACGTAACAGTAATCCAGCCGCACCCAATCACCCACAGTACTGGCAGCCAACATTTCAACCAAGTGCAATAATCTTTTGAAAAGATGCGTATTGCAATCGATGACGAGATTGTAATTGTAAGGATGAACACAAAAAACGTACAAACAAGGAACTAACTGGCAGGAAACAGCAACACCGACTAGTAAGCAAAAGAAAGAAAAAAGAAACCCATCAGCCTAAAACCGTAATGGGGATCTGGGCAAGTAATCAAAGGATAGGCAATCATCCAATGTGATTGCCAACTCGTAAATGGCAAAGCTTCGGCATAGGAGGATATACTCATTCTACAAAATTTCTTGTAGTTCGAAGTGGGGGAAAACACATTGCTGCTGTTTTTTCTTATGTGGGTGCAAAGAGAAAAAAATCCTCTCATATATGTTCTTTGTAATACAACATGACTGCTTCCTGCTTTTTTGTTCACCCCTCTTCCGAAGCCGAATGCACAACATGGTTACTTTTTATTTCAGTTACTATCTTCCTGGCAACTTTGCCATATTGATTTGTTCAATGACGAATGCCAGCTACACATACACACACTCATACATTCACGCGTACATATAGATTACTTACATTATGGGATTGAATGCGTTGAGGTGCATATTAGAACTGATATTACTTCATGCAGTAACTTCAGTGTCGGGAGAAAGAAAAAAACTTTACCTATTCGGAGTTCGGGAGAAAAAAATCTGCATTAAGACCATGTTTACTGCAATATCTGAAAATGCTTTTATCTGCCTTAGTTTTGTTTTCCTTCTTTTTGGAGTCGTGAAAAGTGGCTAATCTTTAGGCCTTAGCAGGTTATCAAATGCGAAATTATGATAGCTTCTTTGTTATGTCTGCTTCGGCATAAGACAGACAGTCTGTCGGTACGGATAAGTTTGGATTCTGAAATACCGAAGAAGAAAAATATTGTTTTACTTACCGTTACGATTTTCACTATCGGCTGGTTTCATTTGTATGGGATGGTGCATCTGTAAGGGGAACAAAGGAAGACAATTTGTTAATGGAATAGGCATAGATTTATAAAGAATATATTTTTATATTTATCTATATCTATTTATCTATATAGAAGGCGTGAATTTTTTTATGGAGTTTTTAGGGAATTTTTTAAGGTTCTATAGAAAGCTTGGAAGAATTTTTCAGGACTCGTTACAAGGCGTGGATTTTTTAAAGAATAATTTTTCAAGGCCCTAGAGAAGGCGTGGATTTTTTTAACGAATATTTTTTCCGTGGATTTTTTAAAGAATAATTTTTCAAGGCCCTAGAGAAGTCGTGGATTTTTTAAAGAATATTTTTTCAAGGCTCTATACAAGGCGTGGATTTTTTAAAGAATATTTTTTCAAGCATCCACACAAGGCGTGGGGTTTTTAAAGAATATTTTTTCAGGGCTCTACACAAGGCGTGGATTTTTTAAAGAATATTTTTTCAGGGCTCTACACAAGGCGTGGATTTTTTAAAGAATATTTTTTCAGGGCTCTACACAAGGCGTGGATTTTTTAAAGAATATTTTTTTAAGGCTCTTTAGAAGGCGTGGATTTTTAAAGAATATTTTTTCAGGGCTCTACACAAGGCGTGGATTTTTTAAAGAATATTTTTTTAAGGCTCTTTAGAAGGCGTGGATTTTTAAAGAATATTTTTCAAGGCTGTGGATTTTTTAAAGAATATTTTTTAAGGCTCTGGATTTTTTTCAGGGTTCAAGGTTCTGTAGGAGACGTGGATTTTTTAAAGAATATTTTTTAAGGCTCTGGATTTTTTTCAGGGTTCAAGGTTCTGTAGGAGACGTGGACTTTTTAAAGAATATTTGTTCAAGGCTCTTTAGAAGACGTGGATTTTTTAAAGAATATTTTTTAAGGCTCTGGATTTTTTTCAGGGTTCAAGGTTCTGTAGGAGACGTGGATTTTTTAAAGAATATTTGTTCAAGGCTCTTTAGAAGACGTGGATTTTTTAAAGAATATTTGTCCAAGGCTCTTTAGAAGACGTGGATTTTTCAAAGAATATTTGTTCAAGGCTCTTTAGAAGGCGTGGATTTTTTAAAGAATATTTTTTCAAGGCTCTGGATTTTTTAAAGAATATTTTTTCAAGGCTCTGGATTTTTTAAAGAATATTTTTTTAAAGCTCTGGATTTTTTAAAGAATTTTTTTCAAGGCTCTATAGATGTACCTAATAATTTATGCTGAAGAATTTTTCAGGGCTCTATACAAGGCGTGGATTTTTCAAAGAATATTTTTTAAGGGCTCTATTGAAGGCGAAATAAGTTTTGAAAGCACACCACAGTTTGGTCCCTCTCCCAAAAATTAATTACAATCAATGAATTTCTCAGCCTCCGCTCTTATTTAATATTCTGCTACAGTTTACCCATCATTAAGTACTTAATTCCGTATCTTTATCATAGACTTTTGGTGAGGTATGCTGTGTAAACAAATGGACCCATTGCCTTTAGCATCGTCGTAATACCACTGCCAACCCAAAGGGATACTCCTTCAAAGTCAATATATAGAAACGTGTGCGTGATGATAGCAATGTGCGTAATATGCACACAGACACACATGCTAACCATCTCCCACCCATAGAGGCAACTGTGGGCTACATAATGAGTTTACTGGGGGTTAGGGATGGGTCTGGTCACACTTGTTTACCTTTTTACACGTTTCATTACATTTCTAAATAATGAATCCTGTCGATTGTTGTCGTATGTCAGGCGGTTAGCCTGTCGTCATTTTCGGTTATTGTGGTTAGCCGTTAATGTTTTTGTTTATTTTGTTTGGTCTCTTTCACTCTCCACCACCCCTCACACCTATTTTGCTCTTCAATAATTAATGTCATTAATTGTTAGTATGTGTGTGTAATTAATTGCAATGTCCTGGTCGTCAATTTGGTCATTTGGGTATAGGATCGAACATGTGTGTGTGTGTGTGTGGATATGTACATATGTGTCATTTTATTATGTTTATTATATAATTAATTGTATTTTAATTACATTTTATTTAAACTAGAAAACAATTATTAGGATCGGTTTTGTGGAAGTGGAGGGTGGTTCGAATTTGAAGAGGATGAGTGGACAAACTTTACATAATACCATGTTCATCAAAAGTACAGTTCCAGAGGAAATTCTGAACAGTAATATCGAAATGAAATATATCATAAATAAAACTTGGCCACAAGGGTCTTAGACTTTTTTCTGTGGAATAAAGACACCAAGGAATAATGGGCAATGAAAAATAATTCTTAAACAAATCTAAGAAAAATATTCTTCATTATGGAATAAAAATTCGCTATCAAGGGTCTCAGATGTTTGTCTATACAATAAAACTTTGAGATCGAGGGTCTTAGATTTTGTCTATAAAATAATACTTCGACAATGACGGTCTCAGATTTTTTCAATGGAATCTCTCTGCCATAAAAATTATTTTTAAGAAAAATCATTCGTGGATTAATTAAGAGAATAATTTTTCTAGGATCTATAGAAGGCGTGGATTTTTTCAAGAATATTTTTTCAAGGCTCTATACAAGGAGTGGATTTTTTAAAGAATTTATTTTCAAGGCTCTTTAGAAGGCGTGGATTTTTTAAAGAATATTTTTTCACGGCTCTTTGGAAGGCGTGGATTTTTTAACGAATATTTTTTAGGCTATATGGAAGGCGTGGAGTATTTAAAGCATATGTTTTCAAGGCTCTATAGAAGGCGAGGAATATTTAAAGGAAAAATTTTCAAGGCTCTATAGAAGGCGTCGAATATTTAACGAATTTTATTTAAGACTCTATAGAAGGCGTGGAATGTTTAAAGAATATTTTTTCAAGACTCTATAGAAGGGGTGTAATATTTAAAGAATATATTTTTTCAGGACTCAATTGAAAGCGTGGTACAGGGTATTATGTCTTTGTGCATATGTTTGTAACAGGCAAAAGGAAACGAGATAGACACATGGTTCCTTTTGAGAATATGCATAGAATCACTTTCTGAGTCGATTTATGCATGTCCGTCCTTCCGTCTGTCCGTCTGTAGATGTTAAATTGTAAACAAAGTACAGGTCGCATTTATAATCCCATTTGGATGAAATTTGGCACAAGTCACTTATTTGGCCCAAGGACGAACCCTACTGAAATTGGGAAAAATCGGTTCAGATTTAGTTATAGCTCCCATATATATTTTCGTCCGATTTAAGGTAAATGGGGCATCAAAGTCCCTCTATATCCTTCGATTTGCATGAAATTTGGCACATAGTACTGAATTAGGTCCATAATGATGTGTGCCAAGTTTCGAGAAAATCGATTCAGATTTAGATATAGCTCCCATATATAGTTTCGTCCTATTTAAGATAAATGGGGCACAAAAGTCCCGCTATATCTTTCGATTTGCATGAAATTTGGCACAGAGTACTGAATTAGGTCCAGAATGATGTGTGCCAAGTTTCTAAAAAATCGGTTCAGATTTAGATATAGCTTCTTATATATAGTCTCGTCCGATTTAAGGTAAATGGGACACCAAAGTCCCTCTATATCTTTCGATTTGCATGGAATTTGGCACAGAGTACTGAATTAGGTCCATAATGATGTGTGCCAAGTTTCGAGAAAATCGATTCAGATTTAGATAAAGCTCCCATATATAGCTTCGTCCGATGTAAGGTAAATGGGGCACCAAAGTCCCTCTATATCATTCGATTTGCATGAAAGTTGGCACAGAGTACTGAATTAGGTCCATAATGAGGTGTGCCAAGTTTCTAGAAAATCGGTTCAGATTTAGATATAGCTCCCATATATAGTTTCGTCCGATTTAAGGTAAATGGAGCACCAAAGTCCCTGTATATCTTTGGAATTAAGTCTAGAATGATGTCTGCCAAGTTTTGTGAAAATCGGTTCAGATTTAGATATAGCTCCCATATATAGTTTCATGTAAATGGTGCACCAAAAACCCTATATATCAGATCTATATATATATATTTTTTTCGTCCGATTTAATTTAAATAATGTGCCAAAGTTCTTATGTTGGATAGCGTACTGAATTTAGTCCAGAATTTTGTGTGCCAAGTTTCGTAAAAATCGGTTGGGATTTAGATATAGCTGATATGAAGTAATTGACGCACCAAGAAACCAATATATGTCTGATAGGAACTAAACGTACCGAAATTAGTGTAACTTAACCTGTGACAAGTTTCGTTGAAATCGTTTCATATTTGGGTATAACTTCTATATATATTTTCGCCCGATTTTAAGTAAATTGTACATCAAACTCCTCATGTTTGTCAAATTGACATCAAATTTTGCACAACGTACAAAATTGAGCCTAGAATAACGTAGTTACGTTTTCTATAAATATAGACATAGCCCAACGGATGACCTATTGATATTTGTTTGAAGTCGATTTTCATACTTTTGTCCCAAATGAATGACATGCTTATGGATAGATCTAGTCCGATTCACATTTAGATAAATATCACATATTTTATTTTATCCAAATTCATGTTAATAATGCTATATAATATACACATAGTGGTGAAGGGTATCATATAGTCGGCCCCGTCCGACTTTACTACTTTCCTTACTGGTTTTATGTATATTTGTTCAAAGCTCTATAGAAGGTTTGGATTATTTCAAGATTATTTTTTCATAGCTCTTTAGAAGGCGTACGTTTTTGAAGATAAATTTTTCTGGGCTCCATAGAAGTCGCCGATATAAAGAATATTTTTTTCACTTCTCTATAGAAGGCGTGGATTTAAGAAATATTTTTATTACGTCTATAGAATCCGACACCAGGGGTCTCCAATTTTTCTCCATAATCACACTTCGTCACAAGGTTCTCATTTTTTTATATTCGATATACCCATTATCTTGTAATATTAATTGACAATTGTATTCCTTTAGATCCCAAGATTTATTTCTATTACATATCAACATTACCTTCAAGGGTCACCAAAATACAACAACAACATTGCCAATACTATTTACTTAGCAAGGTGAACATTGATTTCACAAGGT